TTACTTCTATAACACCCAAAACTTCCCCACGACAACGGGGGCGTGTTGATTAATTTGGAAGGTGAAGCTCCACACATCTAAAGTTGGCTGAGGTTGAGAAACACTGGTGTGTACAGTACCTATAAAGATCAGAATGGTGCAGGTAATGGTATTCCCTGTGATATTCTATGGAAGTGAAAGTTGGACTTTGAAGAAGCAGGATAGGAAGAGTATTGATGCATGTTGGTGTTGGAGAAGACAACCCCATGGACAGCCAAGAAAACAAAGAATTCGAGAGTTCTCACTCAAGGGGGCACAAACAACCAGGCTCAAATTATCCAACTTTAGACACATGATCTGAAGACCCAGAAGGCCATAATGCTGGGAAAGGTGGAAGGAAAGAGAAGAGGACGACCAGCAGCAAGGGGGATGGACTCAGTTATAGTGGTGACAGATGCACCATTGGAAGATCTGAAAGACCAGGTTGGGGACAAATCATCATGGAGAAAATCTATCTATGTAGTGATTAAATGTCAACAGCAACTTCATGGCACACAGTCAATCAATCAGTTTTCCAGTCGTGGCCAGCCATTGGCCTCTAGCACATCACAGCCAAAATAAGAACCTTCTCCCATGCTTTGCTCCAGTTCCTGCTTTTCTGTGGTTAAAAATGGGAAATTGCCCCCAGCAAACCTGCTAGGGACAATATCCATCAATGTTACAGGAAATGGCTTGTTGTTCCCATTTTTCAGGATGGTTTTTGACCTCCCAGTTTACCCACTAGCTTGGGGATTCACTGGAGATCACCCATCCAAAGACTGACCTGGTTCAACCTGATTGAACTTCCCAAATCTTCCAAGGTTGGCTAAGAGTCGCTCTGCAGGGAGATGGGTGGTGACAAATTTGAAATATAAAAAAATAAAAAATAAGGTATGCAATCTCTAAATATGGAGGTTCCATTTTCAAATTCAGTCTGATTAAAGGCAATCTCTCTCACAGAATCGTTGCAAAGATAGGGGTGGAAAGGAGCAGATACTAAATATATGCCATCAGGAGCTTCTAGCAGCAATGACCAGATGGAAATTGAATGATTAAAAATACATACTGTTGGTGTGGCATTTATTACTAGCATCGTGCTACATCGTGGTACATTATTAATGTATTTATCAAGCTCTATAAATGTATATATTGCTTTATAGGCACTTGTCCCAAGTATCTTACAACCCATAGGTCTTAGCAGAAGAGAATTCGGGTGTGGTATAAATGAAATAAAGGAGGGAAACAGAGCTGGGATTAAAATAAGGGATTTATTTCAGAACTAGTTATAGCTGGATATTGAAATCCTTCCTGAACTGGTCTCATCCCTTAAAAAGAGTCATCTGTGATCACATCCTGTGGCAGTAAGTTCCCCAAATGATCTTGTTGAGGATGGGTTAGGGCAGTGTTTCTCAACCTTGGCGGGTTTAAGTTGTGTGGACTTCAACTCCCAGAATTCCCCAGCCAGCATAGCTGGCTAGGGAATTCTGGGAG